TTTATCTATTATTAACTTATCTTCATGTATTTAAATGTCATTGCTGTTTCCCTTTAAGAACTGAATTAATCATTACATTTAAACTTAAGCTTAGTATTTTTTAAAGTAATTAATGCTTTGAACCAAAATGTGGATGATGATCAGATGAGGATGAGTGATGTTATTATACCAAGTAATTACCATTTTAGGGTGCAATTAGATTGGCATTTGGAGGCCTTGCACACGTTAGGAATCCCGCGGTTGGCCAAAATCAGATAAATCTGTCTTGTTGAGCTAAGAATCCAAACTGAACTTTCCAGATTTCCTGGCTTTGTATTATAGTTATGATGCAGAATTTCCACGGATAAGTAACATTGAAATGTTGACTTCATCATCACTTGGAACAGTAGAGTTGAGTAGAAGGTGCCAGAGAACTCCGAGTGCCCCTTTGGCTGTGGGTGGCTTGCATTTCTATGCCTGTAGCGCCCTCGTGTGGTAAAAAGGAGTCCATTGTTTTGGGCTGTGTACAGTCCACAGAGCCCAGGATCCCTTTTCCCTTTCCTGGACAGGAGCTGTACTGCTGGGTCATACCCCATTGGAGGTTTGCCCCAAGCTATGCTTCCCCTCCACTTTCACCGTTTGAACAGTGTTTGTCATGTCAGCACAAGGAGTGACTGTGGCGTTTACAAAGCTTACATAGTTCATGGGCCAGCCGATTGCTGGGACATGAAGTTCATTCCCACCCAGAAGTAGTTTCCTGGAGGATGGTTGGGGAGATCTTGGTACTGCAGCTGTGGCCATACTGGGTGGGAGATGCCTGAGTTGTGGAGACTAGATGGTACTGGCACCTATTGTGCGTTTTCTAAACCACTTCTCTTGGCATAAGTGGGGAGTTAGTGTGCTACCAAACCAGGGTAGAGTGTTTATAACCAGCTGCAGAAGGGGAGACCAAACAGTGCTATTCCGTCTTTTGCTCTGTCCCCTGAGGGAGCTGATGTGTCTGCACATCTCTTATGCTCAGGGTCTTCGGGCACCTCCTCTGGTGGAGGTCGGGAGACAGTTCTTCAGGTGATAACCTTTGCATCTGATTAGTTTATGGAGCCTGTGTTGAAGCTTTATCCTCAAATCCCCTTGGAGACCTGGACAAAGGATTGTGCTGCCAAACTTTACATCAGTGGGTTTCAACAGACGGGCATGCACCTTCAACATAAAGAACCCGGACTATGTTTTTTGCAACCGGGTCTAATGTAGCCCAGGCTGGCCTTGAACTCACTATATAGCTGAGGATGACTTTGAACTCCTTGATTCTCCTATCTCTACCTCCCAAGTCCTGGGATTACTGGCATGTACTACCATGCCAGACTTCCAGATCACTCTTTGTTACCAGGAAGGACACATAACCTTTATGTAGGTCTGTGTTCCACTCGCATGTGTGATATTATATGTGTATATGTAATATTTACAGAACTGTGAACAGCCTCCTTAAAACATGCTGTTCAGTCACATTGAGAATTTTGAGTTAAAGACACTTGAAAAAGCAAGTGCAGGGTCTGGAGAGATGCTCAGCAGTTAGGAGCACTGGCTACTCTTGCAGAGAACCTGGGTTTGGTTTCCATCGCCCACATTGGGCAGCTCACAACTACCTGCAACTCCAGCTCTAGGGGATCCGTTGTCTTCTTCTGGCCTCTGTGGACACAGCATTCACATGTACCCCCCCACACACACATATAATTTAAATGCAAGAGGGCCATGTGATCATCTTTCAAACATTTTTTTGTTTTTATGAGGTGGTGTTTCAGGTAGCCTGGGCGGGTTTTAAACTCACTATGTAGCTGGTGTTGACCTGGAACTCTTGATCCTCCTGCTTCTACCTCCCAAGGGCTAGGATTGCAGGCAGTGCACCATTATACCCAGTTTATATGGTGCTAGGGATTGAACCCATGACCTCTTGCATGCTAGGCAAGCATGCTGCTGAGTGAGCTATGTCCCAGCCCTTTCTTATGTTTCCTAAAAACAAGAGATGAGATTCCCATGAAAAAGATCTCTCCCTATACTAGAAAGAAAGTAGTCCCCCGTCCTCCAAACCTGATTGGCTGACTTCCAACTCATGTGTAGCCGAGACTTACACAACTCTTTCCTTCTGCCTCAGCCTCCTGAGCTCTGGGATTACCATGACCAGCCAGGAAAGTGTCCCTTCCAGAGACAGGAAGCTAAGGCTGGGGATCTGAACAATCCCAGTGGGAGGCTAACCTTTGCCTAGTCACTTCTGCTCTGCTTTGTCACTCTTTAACAGCTGTTTGTCTACTCTTTGTCCCATTCTGTGTGTTAGCATTCCACTCCAGCTGGGTCTGCGTTTCCACTTTATTAGGAAGGTGTATGGGTTACATCAAATTTACATTAAATGAATACGTACGATTTTCTCTTATCTGTTTCTTGTTAATTTAATTCTCAGACTAAGCTGAAAAGTCTCAAGAGTATAAGGTAATATTTTGCTTCCTGTATAATATAATCCATATAATATGTATTTTTCAAAATCTTTTAAAAACAATATTTATTTATTTTTATGTGTATGAGTGTATTGCCTGCATGTGTGTAAGTGCACCTGTGTCATACAGTGCTCAAGGAGGTCAGAAGAGGGCGTTGGATCCCCTGGAGCTGGAGTTATAGATGGTTGTTAGCCACCATATGGTTTCTGGGAATCGAACCCAGGTCCTCTGCAAGAGCAGCTAGTGCTCTTACCTGCTGAGCCAGGTCTCCAGCCTCTATATAATCTGTTTATATGGGCCCTTCATAGTCATGGATTCTACATACTGCAGTTTAAAAAATATTTGGTGTGTTGCAGAGATGGCTCCATGGTTAAAAGTGCTTGCTGTACCATCATGAGAACCAGAGTTTGGATCCTAGCAGCCAGTGCTCTTATCTGCTGAGCCATCTTTCCAGCCCCAAGAAATAAATCTTTAAAAAATTAGAAAAAAAAATTACACCAGTACTAAATGTGTACAGACTTTTCCCCCAAATGATTCAATGTAACAGTTATTTACATAGTGTTTACATTTTTTTGGTATTTTAAATGAACTACAGATGATTTAAAGTACATAGGGATGTGCATGGATGATGAGAAAATACTAGGCCATTTTATATAGAAGACTTGAGTATCTTCATATCTGAATACTTGAAGGGGGGGTCTGGAAACAGCTTCCTCTTGGATACCAGATACAACTAAATATATACAAATGATTGTGTATATAAATGTACAAATTATATACAATATTATGATGCAATGTTTTATATATGGGCACATGTATATATATATATATTTAATGTATGCATCTCAGCATGTGTTTCTGTATATATATGTATGTGTATAGTGTTTGTGTGTGTATGTATGTAGATATGCATGTATTTAAGTGTTTGTGCATGCAGATGTACGTATATCTGTGTGTACACATATATTTTGTGTGTATGTATGTATATGTGTTGTGTGTGTATATATATGTGTGTGTATGTATGTATGTATGTATGTATGTATTTTTTTGGTCTCCCTGTAATCACAGCTGGCCTGGAACTTACTATGTAGATCAGGCTGGCCTCGATCTCACAGAGATCCCCACCTGTCTCTGCCTCCTGAGTGCTGGGACTAAAAGTGTGCACCACCATACCTGACTGTATATATATTTGTGTGTATATATGTTGGTGTATACATGGGTGTATTAATGTGTATACACATCTGTGTGTTTGTATGTATATGTCATATGTGTGGGTGGATTAAAAGGGTGGTGATTCAAAGTCCTGCCTTTAGACACAGAGTTTTCCAAACAGCTGGTTAGTTACTCATTTGAACTCAAAGCAACGGTGACAGCATGCATAAGTCCTATGCAAACTCAAACCAGAAAAAATCCCAGCACAGACATGAAGAAGTGGGTAAGAAGCTCCAACCCACCTAAGGAAATTGTGTCAACAGATGACTGCTGGGAGGGGCAGAGACAGTCCCTTTCAAACATGGGACTTCTGGTAGGTTAGCCAGGCTCCAGTAGATGGATCCACACTGAAGGGCATTTGGGAACATGAAGTAGACTTGTAGACCTTATAATATATATATAATAGGGTACATTAAATTGGGCAAGGGGTAATAAGGAGAGATGGAGATGGGGAGGGGATCTAAATGCCATCAAATTATATTGTATGAAAATCACAAGAAGTGGTTATCACGTTTGCCTAGTTTGAAACTAGGCTACTGGGCGGAAACATCTTTGGTCATTTTTAGCCGGGCGTGGTGATGTACGCCTTTCATCCCAGCACTCGGAAGGTGGAGGCAGGTGGTTCTCTGTGAGTTCAAGGCCAGCCTGATCTATACAGTGAGTTCCAGGCCAGCTGGGGCTACAGGGAGAGCAGGAATCACAATGGGCTGCTCTTGGGTGATGTTTACTTGGCGAGGAACCATCAGACCGGTCGTACCTGGCTTCAGCTGTAGCTTGGTCAGAGGCGAGAGTAGCCTTGTCTCAGAAGCTGTACATTTTTCACTGTGTCAATAAATCAGTCTAATAAGGATTGCTGCAAACCACATGCTATTAAAGGCCTGTCCTTGCTGTGCTGAAAGAACCAAGGTTTTGAGATTGTGAATCAAGATATAGCTTGGTGTGGCGATATACACCTTTGAAACTAGCACTTGGGAGGCAGAGGCAGGCAGATCTCTCTGAGTTCCAGGCTAGCGAGTTTCAGGCCAGGGTACACAGTGAGACTGTCTCCAAAATCAAAAACCAAACAAGCAAACAGATGTAGACAGCTGGGACTGAGAGGTAGCTTAGTGGTGGACAGGCCCTGAGCTCCATCCTCAATGCTGTAAAAAGAACAGTTTTTTGAAAGCGAGATACATGTGTCCTGAACTTGACAGTGTACAGCCTCTCTTTCATAGATCATTCTTTGCCTCTCTTGTTGTTTCCATATATGGTACCAGCCAGAGAATGAACTGACCAAGACCAAGGACGCCTGACTCTAAAAGCCACCTCTGCTTTTTCTCCTAGGATACCTGGGATGAACTCCTAATTGGTGATGTAGAAATGAAGAAGGTGTTGTCTTGCCCCAGGTAAGGGCTGTCTTTAGACAGACCTCTGAGGTGTGGAAGTACAGTGGCCTGTAGCCAGCATCTAATCCTTGGACTTTGCCTGGCAGGTGTGTTTTGACCACGGTGGACCCAGACACTGGCATCATAGACAGGAAGGAGCCTCTGGAAACCCTGAAGAGGTAGAGCACTGAGGTGTACAGTGTTTTGTTGATGCTACCTGTGCCTGCCTTGTCACTACTGTTGCTGCATAAGGTGCATGTGTCCTAACTCCCTAGCATGCCTTCCCCTTGGCTTGTGTCTATTCCTCGATGCAAATGAGTGCTTGTTTCTATTGTTTTTTCTTTTTGGTCTTGGTCTCCCTGCAGCCCCAGCTGGTCTGGAACTCTCTATGTAGACCAGACTGGCCTTAAACTTAGAGATCCGCCTGCCTCTGCCTCCCGAGTGCTGGGATTAAAGGCATGTGCCACCACACCTGGGTTATACATTCTCATCTACAATGTGATCTGTAATTTATTGTGGACACAGTAAGTTCTCTGCATCGATACTAGGAATTGTAAAACTAAATTCATCTTCCATGGCCGTAATAATCTCTACTTTGTCCAAACTGTCAAAGCAAAGTCTTCCATGAAAGGTGACTCTATACTGTAGGTACAAACGTGTGACCCTCTCTGTGCCTTCGCAAGCACTGAGACTGCCTGTGTAACCCCTGTCCTGTGGCACAAAGTGGGGCACAAAGCGGCCAGGTCAGGGCCAACATGGGAAGCCAGTGTGGTGCAGGAAGGCGTGAGCAGACAGTAGAAAAGACGTGAGTCCCCATGGCTGTGCCAACCCAGAACGTCCTCCACCTTGTGTTCTGAATCAGGGTCTCACTTGCCAGAAATTGGCCAGTGAACTCTGGGATCCTCCTGTCTCTGCTTCCCCAGTGCTGGGATTACAGACAGGTGCCACTGTCCCTGGTTTTTCATTTGACTGCTGGGGATCTGAACAGCAGGCGTTTTACCACCTGAGCCATCTCCCTAGTTCCTCTCATCAATTTCCAGTAACACAAAAAGCCCCAGGTTCTATCACAAACATTGCAAAAAGTGAGGAAGAAAAAAGACCCATGTTAACATTTTTCGGGGTGACTGTGTTCTATTTTGTTTGCTTTTCCTATGTTTTATTGTGTGTTTCTAACAGGTTTAGAGGTTAGCTAATGAGGCCTTCAGATTTACAATTCTACTTTCATTTTTGTTCCTTGTTCTGTGGAGGAAATAATGTCATCAGTAGCCTAGACCTATTGGCCAGCCACATCTCTATCTTAATTTTCATGTACCTAGGATCTCCAGTTTTGTGGTTTGCACTTGGAGAATTTGAAAGCATGGGGTGTCAATGACTTGAACTAGAGCTGTGGCAAGTGTTCCAGTTTTAGTTCTGCTGCTGTGATAAAATATCCTGACAAAAGCCACTTAGGGAGAAAGGGTTTATTTTAGTTTATAGTTCCAGGTTGCAGTCCACCATTGTGGGAAATTAAGGGAGGAACTGTAAACAGCTGGTCACATCATATAGTCAAGAGCAGAGAGAAATGAACACATGCATGCTTAGTGCTCAACTAGCTGGTGCTCACCTCCATTTCTCCACTTTTAGTAAGGACCCCATGTCTAGAAATTGGTGTTGTCCACAGTGGACTGGGTTTTCCCACATCATTTAACTTAATTAAGACAGTCCCCCACAGACATGTTCACAGGCCAACACAACGTAGACATCCCTCATTGAAACTCTTTCTTCCCAAGTGATTCTGGATTGTGTCAGATTGATGATGAAAGCTAACCATCACAATAAGTGAAGCATGTTTCCATTTTGCGATTTCATGAGCATTTGTTTCAATGAGTTGTGAAGTTCAAGGTACCTATGTAAATATTTAGGGGCTGGAGAAATGGCTCAGTAATTAAGAGTATAACACTGCTCTTGCAGAGGACCTGAGTTTGAGTTCCAGCACCTGAGTTAGGTGGTTCACAAACACCTGTACCTCTAGCTCCAGGGGATCTGATGACCTCTTCTGGTCTCTGCATATTCATACCCAGGCATACATAAATAAAAAATAAAAATCTTTAAAAAATAAAGCATATATATAACGTGCCCAGAGAACGGATCCCCAAGAATTACCATTGAGTCCAGAGAGCATGCAAGAACAAAGAGTCTTTATTTGGGCTTAAGCTCTGACTCTCAGACCAAACTAACGTGGTAGGTCCGTCTGAAAGTCTGGATCGCAGGGGGAGGGAGCTTTTCATAGGTTTCAGACAAAGGGCGGAGGGGAATGACAGAGTTATATTTTGATTGGTCCAAAGAGCCCGTGCGCACCAACATACTTTTGAATTGATTGGTTACAGTCTTGGGGGCTTCTCATTGGTGGGTAGTGCCCTCACGGCTGTGAAATGTGCTGTTATCTCCAGGTCTAGAGGACCCGTTTATTCCTTATAAGGCCTCAAACCTGCCTGGGCCCCCTTTCCATGCCCAGGCTTGTCTAATCTATAACCACAGCCCTTGCTTGTAACTTGTAACAGCCTGAGACATGGCAAAATGGAGGGGCCAGCCAGAATGGAGTCGGTGCAGTTTGTCCCTTTAGTTCTTCTAAGCCAAGCAATTTACAGAAGCGAAAAGAGCCATTAGTCCTAAAGGGCAGGGGTCCAGGGGCACAGAGGAGGGCCTAAGGAGGAGGGCTTAACAATATATATATACACATATCAGACTGCTGGATGTGGTGGTGCAGGCCTTTAATCCTAGCACTTGGGAGGCAGAGGCAGGTGAATCTCTGTGAGTTCAAGGCCAGCCTCATCTACACAGTGAATTCCAGTCCAGCTGGGACTATAGGGAGATCCTGTCTCAAAAAGACGAAAAAAAAGCATGTATATTAGACTTAGAAATATAAATTTGTGGGTTTGACTTCAAACTGAAGTCATGGGAAAAAAAAAATATTTAGACTCTCAGGTTACCTCTAAAGAACCCGTGGTTGTTTGACGAATTGCTTCCAGCCCTTCTCTGTCCACATCTTAGAACAGGGCTTGCTATTGACCTGGGGCGCAAACCTCAGACTCTGGGAAGCACTAGACTGATGATTCCTGTTCGCGCCTGATGATGGCTTCTGCCTTCTTTCAGCTACCGCCTGTGTGATCCTTCTGTGAAGAATATATACCAGGCATCCCCACTTTTTGGGATGTATTTTTCAGTGGAAAAAATTGGAAGACTGAGAGTTGGTGACCCTGTGTATCGAATGGTGGATTGATGGACCCGCCAGAGTGCCAGGGTAAGCTCAACTTTGCTGCCAGAACTCAGTATCATATCACTTTTTTTTTTTTAATTTTTTTTTAACATTATGCTGTTTTGATTCTTAGGAAATGAGCACTGTTGGAGTCAGCAATGCCTTTGTTTCCTATTCCCTCAGTAAGCTGTGCATTTCTACTCAGCCTTTTCCATCCCTGCTTCGCATGTGCTTATAAAATGCTGATGGACAATTAAGGGCACTGGCTGCTCTTGCAGAGGACCTAGGTTCGGTTCCCAGCACCCAGGGTGGCTAACTATAATTCCAGGGGATCCAACACCCTTTTCTGACCTCTGCAGGTATTGCACGACACAGGTGCACGTACATACATGCAGGCAATACACTTGTATTCCATCCCTGCTTCGCATGTGCTTATAAAATGCTGATGGACAATTAAGGGCACTGGCTGCTCTTGCAGAGGACCTAGGTTCGGTTCCCAGCACCCAGGGTGGCTAACTATAATTCCAGGGGATCCAACACCCTTTTCTGACCTCTGCAGGTATTGCACGACACAGGTGCACGTACATACATGCAGGCAATACACTTGTATACATAAAATAAAATAAAAATAGTAAATAAAATATTAAAAAAAAAATGCTGATGGAGACCCTGCAAGACCGGCCTGGTGACCTGGAGAACAGCATTGAGAGAATAAGAAGTCAAGCAGACCGTTCCTGAGGATTAGGTGTGTTTTGTTTTCTGTCACAGGCAGAAAAGAAAAAGATATTGAAAGCCAGTGGTTTTTTTTTAATGTCAAACATCTTTTAAATATATAAATACATAAATAAATACATCTTTATTACACACACACACACACACACACACACATACACAGAGTGTTTTTTGAAACAGGGTCTCCTTATAGCCCCCGCTGGCCTAGAACTCACTATGTAGACCAGGCTGACCTTAGTCTCACAGAGATCCATCTGCCTCTGCCTCCTGAGTGCGGGGATTAAAGGCATGCACCGCTATACCTAGCTGCTTAAGTATAATTTAAAGTCAAAATGAATTAGTGTATGGCACTGACTAGATTGGGAAACTTGAAGTAGAAAATAACCTTCTCACCTTGACAGCATTGGGTCAGATCAAGCCCCAAATCCTGGAGGTGTGCCCCAAACTCTCAAGTTAGAGGAATGATGAAGTCTCTGGAAGACCTTGCCTTGAAAGTTCTAAGTAACTCCTCTTGCAAAACCTGTTTTCCAGTTTTTAAAGTCACCTCATGGCCAAAGCCCTTGACCAAGACTCTTGTAATTCTGCCCTGGGATTCTCACATATGGCCACTTGCCCATGTGACTGACCATCCTTAAGGACAATCTACCATGTGGTCCCCGTGGATAGGTGTAGTATTAGATACACTGGGGTTCATCCTTAGTTCTCTAAGACCCTGTTACCTGCAAAGAGGAATAATAGTCCTCATCAAAACAATTAATAAAAGTTATTTTGAGTATTAAGTCACTATCAGAAACATAAATGTGCTCAGTGAACACTAGCTCTGGTTTTTATTGTCATTTTTGATTGTGGCACAACCTTAAGGGCCCTTGTATAAGCTTGAGAAAAGTTTTGCCTTTGATATGTGCAAAAAGGTAATCAGTATCTTTTATAACCCTGTCTCTAACCTTATTTCATTGGTTTTTAAGATGTTTGTCTGAATATCTCTGAAATATTTCTCACACAACTCAGGATGCATTTTATAAAAATCCCTGTGAGGGCTGGAGATGTGGCTTAGCAGGTAAAGGTGCTTGCCACCAAACCTAACTACTTGAGTTCCCTCCCTGGGGCCCACATGCTGAAAGGAGACAGCCAGTCCCCTAAAGCTGTCCTCTGATCTCCACAGGCACACACATGCCTGCACATATATACACACACATACATACACACACACACACACACACACACACACACACACACACACAACTGTCATTTTAAAAGTTAAAGTAGGGGCTTGAGAGATGACTCAGCAGTTAAGTGCACCGGCTGCCCTTGCAGAAGATTCAGGTTTGATTCCTAGCACCCATGTGGTGGCTGTAACTCCAGTTCTAGAGGAATCTAACACCCTCTTCTGACCTCCGTGGGCACTGCATGACACAGGTGCACTTACAGACATGCAGGAAGTACACTTATACACATAAAATAAAAACAATAAAAAAAATTTTTTTTTGGTCTTTTTGAGACAGGGTCTCCCTGTAGCTCCAGCTGTCCTGGAACTCACTATGTAGACCAGGCTGGCCTTGAACTCACAGAGATCTGCCTGCCTCTGCCTCCCGAGTGCTGGGATTAAAGGCATTTTTTAAAAAAAGTTAAAGTAAAATTTCTGTGATAAATAAAATACTGAAGCCTCTTACAGTTGATCTATTGTAACTGTATTTGATGAAATTCAATAGATGATAGAGAAGAAATGGAAGATCCCTGGTGCCTGCCATTTCAAAAAGGCCCCTACCTCAGGATCATGAACCTAAGCTGTCTAGCTTGACTTTGTGATGTTCTTCCAGCTGTGGGTGACCAAACCCGGGATCAGTGTCTGAACCAGTGACTTCTATTCAAGAGAGCTCTGCAGTTCAGGGTCCTCCAGGTCACCTAGTGACAGACCTACATTCAGAGCCCATCTGCAGTGTTCATTGAAAGGAGCTTCTGTGGTTCTCTTAGGTTATTTCTACTTGGTCATCTTTGTAGGAGGCTAAAGACCCCTAGATAATCTCTTTTAATCCCATTAGGAACTTCAAGGTAGAGATGATAAATAAACACTTTATAGACAAGCAGCCAAGGCTCAGATGGGCCAACTGACCTAGTATCATAGAGCTGAAAAGAGAAGGATGAGGGGGTGCTCCAAGGATTCATGGGATGGAAGCTTCTGGAAGATCCAATCTTGGGAGGGACCTAGGAGACCCCTAGGGCAGGGATGAGAGGAGAAGAGGATTGTGTGTCCAATGTGTCCTGAAGTTAGGCTGCAGGTACAGATTTCTGTGGAACATATTTAAACCCCATCATGACCAGTGCTATGTGCTATGTTTTTCGAAGATGAGAGCTCAGTGAAGGGTGGGCTGGATGGAGGTGAGAAGAGGGGTTGGAAGGCCTGGAAGCTGGCAGTGTGTGATATTAGCAGGCTGGATGTCATGGGCATGGAGGGAATCCCAGTGTGGCACGGGTGCTGTTTTCGCTTGGGCTGTAAGGTCCCTCATCCTGTGCTTCTGCCGAGCTCCCAGAAGGGCAACATGGCTCACCTATTATTTTCCCTGGAAATACTGAGAATTGAATCTAGGACCTTATGCCTGTTTAGCAAGTGCTCTGCCATTGAGCTACAACCTCAGCCACCTGTTTTAAGTGTGAACCCTCTATAGTCTCTATGGATTGGAGGCCCTCTTTATAGGACAGGGTGAAAGGGAGATTAAAGCCCTAAAAGGTAAAGCAGTTAGTTAATATTTGCACCAAAGTTACACCAGTTATTTAACTACCTAAAAGAATATTTTTGAGACAGGGTCTTCTATGTAGCTGAAGCTGGCCTCAAACCTGCATCCCTCCTACCTCAGCCCCTGAGCGCTGGGATGACAGACATATGCTATCAAGCTTTGCTTACTAAAACTTCATTATACAAAAGTTTGTCAGCTTTATTATAATAGCAATACGTATTCACCATGGCAAGTTTAGAAACTACCAGAGAAGTAGAGGAAAGATGGAAATCAGCTGTGTAACTTCCCTGGGCCAAATCACAAGGTAGGTAAGCCAGGAGTGGTAGTCATGCTTTTAATCCCAGCACTTGGGAGGCAGAGGCTCTGTGAGAGCCAGGCCAACCTGATCTACATCTTGAGTTCCAGGCCAGCTGTGACTACAGACCCTGTCTCAAAGAAACAAAACAATGTGGTAGGCACACTGCCGTGGTGCCGAGAGCTCACACAGTGAGACCGGAAGAGGGAGTGGAGAGAGCCAAACTTGCTTTTCAAAGCAACTTCCTATTGAGGGTGCCAACTGGGGTTCCACAAGATCTACCTTAATCCCTTTCCAAGGGCACATCTCTGATGACCTAACGAAGTCTCCCAAAGTTCCACTTCTTAGGGTCATGTCACCTCTCATATCACCACACAGTCAGACTGTAGCCAGCCAAACATCACTGAAGAAAGACCCCTTGTCAGGATTTTGATGGCTTCATTTTCATAAACTGCTGTTTCTTGTGATAGTCTTTGGCAGGTCATAGTTTATATTACCTGCATTTTAACCCCCATTAAGTGACTGTTATGTGGAAGTTAGAATTATTTATGACCAATAGTCTAAATAACAAAATAATAGAGATTCTTACCTTTTATTCAGTTCCCAGAAGATCTCAACCAGCAACAGTTCTTCAGAGAACCCCAACTTCACAGCCTCACCCATCTTCAGTGAACCCCAACTTCCCAGCCTTAACTATCTTCTTCCTTGAAGTGAATCTCTGTTTTTGACTTTTAGAGTTGCTTATGCTCTGTGTGGGAACATTAGGATTGTGTAAATATTAAGTAATGAAGGTTTTTTTAAGTAAACAAAGTTGTCTGTACAATTATTCTGAATGGTATTCTATTACATTTTTCTAATCTCCAACTTTAATATTAATGAGTAAAGAAAGTTTAAAGAGTCAGCTAAAAAGTTTCCAATTAAAAAATGTGTATACTTTATTGCCTATTGTTTGAGGAGAAATCTGAAAACAAACCACTGTGTTCTGGCGTGCCTTTAAGCGCCAGCACGCTCACAGATGCCCGTTAGTGGGTTCTGACCTGGCTGCTGAGCCCTGTTCAGTTTTCATTCTGGTTTTGTTTTCACATTATCATTACACGTAAATATGGAAATTATTTCATGGATTGTGGGGTTCTTTTACTATTGTTCTTACACGCCTGTATTTGATTCTGACTCTTTGAAGATAAATACAACATTTTTGAAGCAGGGTCTCCTGGTAGCCCCAGCTGGCCTGGAACTCTGTAGACCAGGCTGGCCTTGAACTCACAGAGATCCACCTGCCTCTGCCTCCCAAGTGCTGGGACTACAGGCGTGCGCCACCACGCCCAACTTAATTCTCAATTTCTTCAATCCTACAGGGAATTGGGATTTAAAAGAGAATGAGATTTTCAGAGACAGGAATGAGAGGAAGAAATCATGACTGCATTTTTTAAGATTTATATCTATTTTTTTCATAACAGAAAAATGACAAGCCTTCTATAAATAAATAAAAATACTAGAGTTATAGATGAACCAGTCAGTCTACTTATAATTTCATGGTTTCTTTGTCATTAAAAATGTGAATCCTCTATTATTCTGTCTTTTACTTCATTCAGTGAATCTCAACTGTCACTCAGTGTAGAAAATATGCTGTCTCTGTGGCTCTTGCTAATTAGCTTTTCCTGCTGCTGCCTCCCACTCTGAAGAGGAGAAAGGCACTGTAATTGGATAGCAGGTTATTTCCAGTTAAGGTTAGAGGTAGTCGTTAACTTTAGCAATGGGTGGCTTGATTCAAACCTATCTAAAACAATGCAGTGGGAAAAGCTGTATCATTTAGTGAACACATTTAAAATTCAGTTCCTTGTTGTCTCTCTAAGTATCATGTCAATACTAATAAAAACGTATTTCTGAAACGAACAAAGAAAGATGAATCCTTTTGTGTTTTGTTGGTGGCGTTCTGTGGGGGTCTCTCCCTCCCCTCGTGGGTTGTTGGCCACCGGTCCACGAGAACAAAGGGAGCAGAAGCGACGAACGGGGTCAGGACGGCCAGTGAGCACTGACGGAAGAAAGCCCTTCCGGGGAGGCAGATTCAGTGATACAAACAGCTCCAGACTCAGTGAAACAGCTCCGTTTATTCAGTGGGGGTTAGGGAAAATATAGTGTGGAGGCAGCAGCCAATGCTTCAGCTGATAGGTGCTCATAGTATGCTTTATTTACATGTGGCAGTGGGCTCCTATCATCCGACTATCGGGTAATGCCTAATTACCATATAGAAAAAACCTCAGGGGGTAGTTTTTACTCCAGGTAACTATGCCAAAGGTCATGTTCCAAATAAGGTCAGGCATCCATGCTTGGTGGCACTGTCAGGCAGACAGCAGGAGGACTCCACTGAGAAGGGGAGTCCTTCCATATAACGCCGAGCCCCTTAGAGCTATCTGGACATGGAGGACTACAACCCTAGCAGCAGGATCCCCCAACATCTCCCCCTGTTTTGCTTTACAATGGAGAAGTGTCATCACAGAAATGGAGAAGTGTCATCACAAGCCTTAAGAGCCAACTCATCTATCTCGGGAGAATTCAAAGTTTGATAATTGACCATGACCTGTTTGGTAGTAATTTTTGCAATGGTAGTAATTTGTCAGCGAAGAAATTGTATGAAACAGGGAGCAAGCATCAAAATGACACATAGCATGATCAAGGGGCTAACAAAGTGTAGGAGCCATGAAAACAAGGGGTTATTAAACCAACCTAATTGTTCAGTGGGTTGAAATCTTGAAAATAGATCATTACGAAGTTTTTTGAGAGTATTAACATTGGTCTCAACAACATTTAATTCATTTACAAAAAAACAGCATTCCTCTCCCAATACTACACACATCCCCCAATGTTCAGCAGTTATTAAGTCCAGTGCTCTTCTGTTTTGGAGCACAGCCCCGCCAAGAGAGTTCATTTGTCATTGGAGAGACTCGAGGCTATCAGTCGTGGATGGCATTGCCTGGTCAAGCTTGTCTCGAAAGTTTCCTGCCAGGTGATGGGTTTGTATAATAGCAGCTGTTGCAGAGCCTCCGGTACCCAGGGAGAGGGCAAGTCCGAGCCCCACTAGCAAAGGGATGAAGATTTCTCTCTGCTGGCAGGTGTGAAGGAGGAGGGCAGCTTCTTCTTCTTTGAATAGGTACACCTGGGGAGTAATCATTACGGGTACACAAAAGATGGACAGAGAGGAGTTAACACAGTGTTGGGCTTTTCCTTTGCACCATAGGAAAAGAGGAGGGGCGACGCATGCTGTCCTGGAGAGAGTAATGTTAGTGAGGCATTTGTAATGAGTAGGCTTACTCTTGCTGGAAATGCAAATTGGATAGTTAGCCAGTTGTTCAAATAAGGGAATATCCATCAGATGAGAGTCAGTGAAATCTCTTTTTGTTTCTGGGTAAAGAAGGGTGGTATTAACTGGTACTGCTGTCAGTAAAGGTCTATTGCTGGATGCACA